ATCATTATCATTATCATTATCATTATCATTATCATTATCATTATCATTATCACTATCACTATCATTATCATTATCATTATCATTATCATTATCATTATCATTATTATTATTTTCAGATCGTAGAGAAATGTCCCTCTTATGTACATCATTTCCTGAAGTCCAGTGTAAGTATTTACATAAAAATAAATTGTATATTCCATTCTTTTTAAAAAATAAAAATGAATTTTTTACCCTTCATTGTGTGGAAACATGTACAGGTTGAGAGGTTGAATCAAATTCAATGGGTTTTAGGGTATCTCAGAAACTAAGATAGAAAAAATTGATGACACATTCTTAAGGGTTACATTTGTTTTCGAGTTCCAGGGCGATATTGAATTTTGTAATATTTTCTCTGTTGAGCATTTTAGAATTAAAGTAAAAATTGCTATGTACCTACTGACTTTTCGATTGGAATGTAATCGTGAAATTAATTTTTAAGCCGATTTTAATGTTTGGAAGTTATATTTTTCATTAAAAAAAGTTTATATCTCATAAATGGGCCAGTTTCCTTCTCTCAGCCTTTGAAATATTCTGTTAAATTTTTAATTTTGCATGTTTTGTTTTTCTGCTGCGGTCTTTATTTTGTAAAATGTAAAACTTAATTTTCTATTGAAGTTTTTTTTTACTGTTTTAGGTAGCTTTCGGAGACAAAGAAAACGTAAGTAATATACCTGTGGCTCTATAATTTATAAATCAATGTCAACAATTCCTTTTGTAACTTTCACTGATTTTACATTTTATTATCAACTGCTTGAAGAAGTTTAATGATTTTTTATAAATTATGTATTCGTTATTTCTTGTCTTAAAACGATTACAAAATTTACATTGATCTTCAGCTTTCTAAAAACTAAAATACAATCGATATTAGTGCATGCCTGGTACCGCAGAATAACTAACGATCAAAATAATACAATGCCGGCATCCTTGATCTCTTCCGGAGGTCTGACGACATGTTTTCGATTATAGAATTATTTATTTGCTTATTATGTAGTGGTTATATTTTTATTAACTTGTTACTGTTTCATTTAGATAGGCCGAGTTTTTTATACATCAATCTGATAGGTATTCTGTACCTGCTACAGAGTTATACAGGGTGTTTCATTAATAACACAGCCACACAAAAAAAATGTTGTACTTTTCATGCGACATATGTTATCCGTAGTATTATTGCCACTTGATCACGAATCCGGTGTCAGAATTGAGCTATCACATCACAGGAATTTCCTAACCTCAAAAAACAGGTCAAAAATAGCAAAAATTCACAAAAAAGGGCTAGGAAAAGTAGAAAAAAATTTGTTCTCTATTCAAATGTTCATTTATATGGTTAAGATCCCGCCGAACGTGAATTTCCGGTCGGAATTGATGGTTCTTTTTCTAATCTAAGAAAACGGGTCAATTAAGGTCAGATATCACGAATTTTTAAAAAACTTTAATCAATTACCTATGTATGTACATTAAGAAGGTTAAAACATGATTGAGTACTCAGGTTATAAAGTAAATTACAAAATGAATTTCGCAATTCTGACTTCGAATTTGTAATCAGCGAACCCGAAAACCACCGTTTACCAAATTTGACGCGAATGTGTTATTTTTTTTAAATTTGGTAGGCCACCTGGATCCGCCATTTTGAGTTTTGCAAAACTGACTTTGGATCCACGATCAGCGACCCCGAAAACTCCCGTATACCAAATTTACCGCGAATGGGTTATTTTTTGTAAATTTGGTCGGCCAAAAGTTAGTTTGGAGTTGAACAAAATACCTAAATCCTTAAATTGGTCGCATTTTGTTAAATATACAGTATCAATATTATATAAAATTATTAAAATTAATAGAAGTAAAATTGGCCTTTCTGGTAAATGACATTCAAAAACATTTCTTGATATTAAGTGGTACAGAGAGTTAAGTGTCATAACAGGAGTTAATCGTTGATAGATCAGATTGCAGTTTCAAACAGTCCTCGATGTTTTCGATACACCTGAACAATTTTAGGTCGTGTGCCTACAACAATGTATTACTGTCAATACTCACATTTATGTCATTTATAAATAAATATAGAATCTTATTATTACCAGTGGCATACAGCAGGGACAGAGATGTAGTTTGTCTCATCTAAATTTTATGACACTCAGACACTGGTGGAATAGTCATTTTAGCATATTTTTTAGTTTATAAAAGTTTTTTTACGAAAATAATGTATTCTTCATGGTGATCAATTTTCAAGATAATTAAATTTAAACATAGAGCTGCACAGTATCCTGACTTTAATGTTTAATCTATGTTTATATTTGTATTGACCATTTCGTCATCTTAAGTCATAAAATTGCATTGGTAAAGATTAGTATCAGATAATTTTCAAAGTGGAGGACATCTGAAATAAGTGCAGTAATGTTTTCTTTTGACAGAGTCTTGTGGTTATTAAAAATGATGTTCGTGTTCCTGAAGGACCGTTAGATTGTACGTTGCTATACTCCACAAGCATTATTTGGTTTTTATTATTAATCAAATTTTCCATGACAATAAAATTAGATTTATATTCAAAATGGGACGATGACTGATCAAATAATTGATTACGAGAAGAATTTACGAAAGGGCAAAAATTTCGAAAAAACTACTAATGTAATAAAACAAGGAGCGCAACTGCAAAAAAGATGTGAAGTCGCCGTATTTTTTTTTTTTTTTTTTCATTTCTTTATGTGTTGTGTAATATTCTGTGCATCTAATAATAAAATAATCTTTAGGTCGAAGAATGGAGATGGAAGAATTGTGTGTAGTATTTCCTGAAGCCCAGCGTAAGTTTTTACAGAAAACAAAAGAAATTATTTTCTCCTAATCTAATTACACTCTCACAAAAGATTAATTAATTTGATTATGAAAACAACATAATGCTTTGTAAAGCTCAAGAAATGAGTAACCGATTATTGTTTCTCGAAAATGATTAGAAATGACTACCAATTTTAATAACACATAACTCTATCAATAAAAAATCAGTCGTATTCCTTCCAGAGTTTTCTAATTCAGTAAAACTGTGAATGGTAGTACCTACCTTATTGAATTCTTTCAAATAAATACTCTCTAAATAAGAATTTGTTGGTCCCAATTTGCAGAATGAGAGACATCCGACATAAGTGTAATTTTTTAAAAGAATGGGCTCATTAAGGTAAACAAATGGTCAAACCATTTGTTTACTTTAAATATTATTATGTTACTCTTATTCACGTCTTCCATCTGGGGTAGGTAAATTTAAAAATAAATAACACATGACTTAAAAATATAGGTTTTGCTCTCTTATAATTGTAGTTGTTTTGAAAAAACCTTTCTTCATTATTAAAATTTAATAATGTTTCTTTTTTTAATCTAATTGTATAATAATTTTTAGGTATGTTATGTACAACAATTCCCAAAGTCCGATGTAAGTTTTTACATTAATAAAAAAGTATAGATTTAATTCTTCTAAAAGAGCTAATGAATGAATTGTTTTACCCTTTAAAGTGTGAAAAGATGTAAAGGTTGAGTCAAATTCATTGGGATTCGGAGTATCTCCAACTCCCAATAACAGAAAAAATTGATACGTTCTCCAAACATTTCAGCTGTTTTGGAATTACAAAGTGATATTGGATTTTATAACATTTTGTAACAAGTATACACTGTTGCATTTTTTTCATGTGGAATGGAATCATGACATTAATTTTTAAGATTTTAAAGTTCTGAAGCTATTTTTCATGAAAAGAAAGCAAGTTTTTATCTCATAAACAAGTCAATTCCCTTTTCTTGGCTTTTTTAATAAGTATACCGCAACATTAAAATTTTTCATATCTTCTTTTTTTATTGCGGTCTTCACTTTGTAACATGTAAAGTTTATTTTTTTTAACTTTTTAAGGTAGCGTTAAGGAAAAGAAAAAACAGTAAGTAATATTATCTATCTATGGCTTTATACAAGTAATTTATGAATCAATCAATGAATATGAATCGATACATTTTTTTTGTTGTACTTTGAACATTTTAATCATAATTTGTTCGTAAGCTCTTAATGTATAATCCCGAGTCAGACTCAGGCAATGCATGAATTACTTATTTTAAAATATTCTGGCCCGTATTAGAGTAGGGCTATTTATTATTTGTGGTACTAAAAGTATTCTGCATTGGTCTGAAGCTTAAATAACATTAGTTTTGGTCCTTCATAATACATATATATCTGGGCGGGATATATTCTTTTATGGCACAGTATCATATACAAAAAGATTCTTTTTTACGTGGTATAAGTATACGAATTTGATAGTTATAATATACAAATTACGAGAAATCTTAAATATTAAAATTGGTGTGTCATTTCTAATCATTTTCCTGAATTAGCTTTAGACTGCAAATGCTCTATATTCCGCAAGCATTAATTTGTTTTTATTAACAAATTTTTCATGACCATAAAACTAGTTATGTATCGAAAATAACTAATAAATTACAGACCGATGCAAATCAGTTTGCGTCATGAGATTGCTCCGTCTACAAAGACCATGGCAAGGAAAACGCTCCAGAAATTTATTTGTATTGATGCTAAATCAGAAACACAAACTTATTTACGTTGGTCTATTATCGAATACGTGAAAATCTTTAAGAATAGAAAGAATTTACAACAGGGGAAAAACTTGAAGACTATATTATAAAATAAGAAATGAATTTGTAAGGTCACCTGTAAAAAGTATATTTATATGTATATTTGTTTTGGGATGGAGGTAGTTTTTCCCCGTTTCTGTATAAATAATATTCTTTACATCTAATTATATAATAATTTTTAGATACTGAAGAAATGTGCCCGATAAATTTCTCTGCAGCATCTCCTGTTAACCAGTGTAAGTTTTTGCAAAAATATATATAGAATGCATTCTCTTAAAAGTTTTGGAGAGAGAATAGAGAAGAGAGAATAGTTATTTTTCAGAAACTGTTAAAAGTTGACATTTTCATTAAATTTTCAGTTGACAAAGTGAGTGTTTTTTGTCACACAAACACTTTTATGTTCTAGAACGTCAGTCTTTTCATTCTAGAACATAAAACAAATGTCAAAATAATTTATCATTTTTTTATTTATGATATAACATTTCAAAACATTAACTGTTATAAATAGGACGATTACAATTTATTTTGCACTACATGTAAATTGAAAGTAGCGATGTTGCAGTGAGTTACATTTATGCCAAATCCATTTATTTATGCCAGACGTAAAGAACAGTATTTGCGGTATATCTTCATTTGGTCTGGTCTTCAACAAATCACAAAGCATCTCGGAGTATAAGTTTTGGAATCAAGAATTCATATAATAACTGAATTTTTGGCTTCCCATCGATCGTTATTTTTAGTAGCTTATCTCTTCCCAAAGCTCCACAAACACCAATTATTAAAATGACCTGAAAAGTTGTCCAAAAGTTAAATCAATCGATTTATATTATTAATTTGAATTACCTTTTCTAGCAGAAATATATTATCAGGTGCTTCTTGTAAAATTCTCTCAACTTCTCTCTCTTTCGTTAGAATTCTGAACTTTTTCGGACGGTATCCAACTGATTAGCTTTTCAAATATAGTATTAGTTTTGGAAATTTTCTGATATTTTCATTTTTTTAGCATTCAGTGTACTTTTTAACACTGGATATACTGACTATAATGTGAAGGTTTAATTTAATTAATTTTATGTTCGAAATATGCCAGTAATACCGCTTCGGACACTTTTTGAATTTTCTTCGCTCTCCACCACCCTCTGAGTTCGTTGTAGGCAATCTCGTACTGTCTCGACGATTTTTTGGGGATTAATTGTGAAACAGGACTTTGTGTCGCTTCCAATACTTCCCCTGGTAAATGCCCGTCCTCACTTTCCGATCTCTTAGAATACGAATTACAATACAAGTACCTATATAATTCTCACACTACTTTTTCAAACAATTAATTTTTATTGTTTATTAGGATGCTTTGACTATTTGCTTTGACCCTCTATTCAAGATTGAGATATTAGTTTTTAAATGGGTTATATGGTTTTGGAATTATGAAATTGTACTTTATAGCTTCATTCCTCGAGCAATCCAAAACAGTTTAATATTCTCAAATATTTTAATTTTTAATTTATTCTTTTTCTGTTGTGTTATTTGTGTTGATTTGTTTTTATTGTTTCAGATTATTGTAATGACAAAGAAAGTGGTAAGTAACATCATTATAGTTAGTAGTCTATCTAATTTCTCTATAATTTAAGCACAAATACCATTTCTTTTTGTCGCAGATAAATTAAAAATAAGTAAAAAATTTTAAAGCCTCCTTCTACCTAAATCTAATTGTTTTCAAGATAATCGACATTTTATAAAAATTTTGAGATGCAAGCGTTTCGAAAATTCTTTATATCTTTGTTCGTTCTTTACTTGCTTTTCAGAGCACACAAAGATATGAGACATAAGATGCACTACATTCCGCTATCAAAATTACTTGAAGAAAATTATACCAAGTAAACCTTTTCGTACGTTACATTGTGAAAACATAAAATCGAGAAAACTTTAAATTCCAATAGCATAATGTAATTTTTGCACCATTTTATAAAAAGTCAAATTATCTTTTCACCAATACAGGCATACGCATACTTGCGGTTTTCTTCCATTCTCAAGAATATTTTACATTAAAAATATCATCAAATGTGCCTTGAAATGCAGATATATTGGTATTGTATTTCAGTATTCTACAAGTATGATGTATTTGCTCGACAAGAAAAATGCAGAATAATTATGAAAATAAAGATATTTTGAATTTATTTTATATTCATGGGACATTCATCATGAATTAGAATTATTAGCAGCATTTCTATGATTTGGTATTTTGCAGTATTTGAGGAATGAAAGTCGGCGAGCTACGTACAATAGCGTTCTTTGTAGAATATTTAAATATTTTTCATTTTTTTTCATAATTACATTAGTAGAATGAATTGTTTCACTTTTGTTGCATCTTTTAAATAATGAGGGAATATACATACTTTCAAATAATAATAATAATATTTTCTTCAAATGGAATGCCATTATTACTAACTGCAAGTACAATAAAGAGTAAATAATTATCCTTTCATTATGAAAACAATGAAATGTAAAGCAACCAGAATTTTAAATTATAATTATCTTTCTCCTTTTAACTTCATCATCAGTATCATAAAATTATCTGACAATCATTTATTAGTAATTTGAAATGATTTGTGTTTACTGTTCTTTAAAAACTACCACAATAATAAAAATTAGAGAAAAATTCGAAGAAAACCAACCAAAATCATTTTATTAAGAGGGCTCTATAGCAAATAGGCAACCAGAAATACATTTTTATAGATTTGATTACAGTTTGTCTAAATATTAATTAATGCACAAATAACAGACTATAAAATGGGGTTGGATTGAAACTCAAATTAGCTCCATTAAAATGGGGGGAAGTCTGTTATTTGTGAATTAATTCATGTTTAGATAAACTGTCTAATAAAATCTATAAAAATGTATTGCTGGTTGCCTATTTGCTATAGAGCCTTAATTATTATGATTCAGCTAATAATTCTGACTAGGTGAGTGTTCCCATGGATATAAAATAAATAAAAAATACTTGATACTTGATGAATAGCAAATAACAGTACCAATATGTGTCTTTCAAGGCACATTTGATTATAAATATTTTTAATGTAATATTCTTAAAAATGTAGGAAAACAAATATCTGAGAAATTCGAAATTGTAAACTGCCCCTTCGATGCCTATATCGGTGAAAAGAGAATTTGATTTTCTATAATATGGTTCAAAACAGTACAGAGTGTTCCATTTGAACTTAAAAAGTTTTATCGGTTTTAAGTTTTCAAAATGTAACGTAAAAAATAGGATACTTAGTATAATTTTCTTCAGGTAAATTTGATAACGTAAGGTCTTATCTTCTTCGTGTGTTCCGAAAATCAAATGAAACCTTTCAAAACGAAGAAAGATATAAGAAATTTTTTAAATTCTTGCATCTACCAACATTTTTACAAAATCTTGAAATCTCACAAACGGTTGGATTTAGGTACAAGGAGGTTTTAACCTTTTTTACTTATTTTTAATTTATTTTGTAGATAATGCGATAATAAATATATAGGATGTTCCATTTAAAATAAGCAAGTAGATGGCGACTTCCGGTATAAGTGGATGTGCTACAACAGTGGCATTATTTTATTTAAAGAGGGCACCCCCGAAAATCCCAGGGCCCAAATTTAAAAAATTCATATCAAAAGAGTCCGTGAAATATTCTAATGGACCGTCACCGTAAGACAGCCTATATATTTTATATATTTATTAACCATTTTTATGTCTCTTAAAAAGAAATGTTTAAATAAGAAAAATGTACAGAATTTTATGCTAATCATAGATTCGTTTTTAAATTTAGAAATTTTCGAAGTTCCGAAGATATTAGAAGAAAACCGATTTTATGCTATTTCTTTTTTCAGTCGTATTTCATTTGTTTTTCAAAATTTTAGGACAAAAATGTGTAGTCAGTATTAAAGTACCTATCTTTTAAAATGGTATAGTTTATTTTTATTTTTGATATGGACGTCATATTAAATTTTTGCCTCATTAGTAGAAAAAGGAACCAAGATGTCCACCATAATTATAATTTTAATAAAATTCTGTAAATTAATTTAATATTTCTTATTTTTAATATTTTTTTGAAAACTTTAACATAAAGCTTCAAAATAATAAAAAAATGTATGATAAACTGCCATTATTTTTTGAAGTTCTACTGACCCTCGAAATTTGTTCATTTAAAATTGAATCACAATGAGATGTATAAAGACAACAAAAATATATTTTTTTATTCTATTTAATTTTCCAAATTAGGATTTTTTTAAATGATTTCCTATTTACTCTTCTGAAAACTGCTATGAGTAAATAAAATTACGAGAATTTGCGTTTATTTCAATAATTTAATCCATCAGTACTCTAAAACTTAATTGACAGTAATTTTCCACCACACCTAACTATAATGAAACAAATTGAAGAGTTAACGTTTTTTCAATTTTATTAGACAGTAGAATAGAGCGACAATATAATTTTAGACTAAAATAAAGTAGATCCAGGTGAAAGTACTTTTTTGCAAAAAATGATGTTTTCGTCGCTTATTGTAAAATATATCAACTAAACTTGTTTTATAAATCCTTTTGTGTTTTTAGGGACAGAATCAGACTATTGCTCTTTAAGTTTCGACATGTGTAGCAAATCGATTGGTGGCCAACTTGAAGGTTTGTAGTTGTTTAAATTTACTTGTAATTAAATCACTGATATTTGAATTTACAAAGTAATTAGTTTAGATTACAAGTTCAATACCTTTACATAGGTATGACCAATATTAAATGCGTTTACGCACCACAAAATGACTCACTATACAATAAATAAGAGATGCATGATTAAAAGCGTAAATGTACAGTATAGTTAATCTACGTATTTTATTTTTGCTTGTTTTACAAAATTTTAAAGAACCCATGTATAGTCAATGTGTTAATATTAATTTTATTCAATATTGAAAAAAATTTGAATAATAAATTACAAATGTGTAGTAATAAAATACACAAAATTTTTTATCAAGAATAACTTTTTCTCGAAAAATCAACAATAAAAAAGTTTACAAGAGTGCGGTACCCCATTCGGGGACACACTGTATATGTGTATGGGGTGTTCCAATTTACGCAACCTAAATTTTACTTGGTGATAGAACCCGTCGAAATTTTAAAATCGTTTTCAGGAACATAGGTCGAGAAGTATTTAATTTCCGAAATAGAGGTTGTTGAATATTGAAATTCTTGAATATGTTTCTTTTTTATGTATTCATAATTAAAAATAAGTTATTGAAAATTTTCACAGATACTACACTTTTTATCCTTTTTAAGATAGAATGGCAATTAGAATTATGCAGGGGCAGATGAAACTGAAAGGTTTACGTTAAATGTTGACCTTTTTGCACTAAAAAACATCTACTTATTTAATTATTGCCGAATAAAAAATAAGGTAATCAAATTTGACTCGCCAAATGTAAACGAACTAAATTTACCATAATATGCCATTTTCTTTTATAAATTCTTTTGTGTCTTCAGGGACAGGAGCACATAGCGATTACTTTATGGATTGCAGCTTTCCTTACGAATCAGTTAGTGGCCAACTGCAAGGTTTGTAATCATTTAAATTTACCTGTAATTAAATGCCTACTGTTTGAATTTGCAAAGTAAATGGTTTAGATTAGAAAATATTTAAAGCATTTACGCGCCACAAAATGACTCACTATGCAAATAATGATGCTTGATTATAAAAAAATATAAATGAACAGTATTGTCAATCTAGGTAGGTAGGTATTTTGTTTTTGCTTTTTTTACAATATTTTATATTTTACCAAATTGAATTACCCAAATTTTACTTGTTGAAATATGAAAAAAATCTCTTAAACATAGGGTGAGAAGTATTAGATTCCGAAATACAGGTTGTTCAAATTGAAACTCCTGAAAATGTCTTCTTTAAATATATTCAAAATGTTTAAAGATAAATACCTAAATGAAAATTTACACAGGTATTCCACTTTTTGTCGTTCTTAAAACAAAAGATAGGTACTTAGAATTATGCTGGAGTAGGTAAAATGTATACATCTCAAATATACAGGGTGTTTTTGAATGGAGTAGCATAAATGATACCAGTGAATCTACATTTTAAAAGAACACGATCTGCAAAAAATCGCCTTAGTAAAATGTTCACCCCTGAAGAGATATGGGCCATCAAATTTTCCAAAAAAATTACGAAAATTGGCTGTAATTTGAAATTAAACACATTTAAGTGCACTGCTGTTTTTCTCGTACTAGTCTGACGATTTTCGTCAAACTCTTCAAGTACTGCATCCTCAAGATAAATAGTACGAACAGTAGGTCTTCGGCCGGTACCCTCAATATGCGGCTGTATTTTTCCAGTTTCCAGAAGTCTTCGTTCTACCGCCGAAAAAGTTTGTCTGTGGGGAACCTGACGATTTGGATATCTCTCATTATACGCTCTTGTTGCCGCAGCACAGTTTTTGCGACATTCAAAATACACTTGTAGCATGTCCACATATTCATCATTAGTAAAATTTGGCATAATTTTTGTTAATTTACACCCAAAAAATATTTAGCTGATAACAGAGACAACTTACAGAAGAGTTAATTGTGACAACTGGCATGACGGCAGCACACTTAGTTTTTCTTTGATTGATTGCAATCATATACGGTGTGAGGTGAATGGTAATACATTTTATTTTTTTATTAATAAACGAAAAGTTTTAAAGGAAAATTGCTAGAGAGGTAAAAGTTTCTAAAAGAACCAGTTTATCTAATGCGTATTTTTGGATATCGAGTTTTTACGAAATATAAAAGTTATGGCAAAAAATGGCTTGAGGGGTGGTTATTTCAACCCCTTTCGAGGGGTTAAAATTTTCGAAAAATAGTTGAAAACTCGCATCTGTATTAGTAAACAACCAGTAAAAAATTTGTTATTTGTACCTCGTTCGGTTTTCAAATTACAGCCAATTTTCGTAATTTTTTTGGAAAATTTGATGGCCCATATCTCTTCAGGGGTGAACATTTTACTAAGGCGATTTTTTTAAATCGTGTTCTTTTGAAATGTAGATTCACTGGTATCATTTATGCTACTCCCTTCAAAAACACCCTGTATAAGATTGAAATAATTAGGTAGGTACCTACTGAAATCTTGGAAAGTAAAACGTGTATAGAACAAAAGTAAGCACAAAAATAAAATCCTTGATGTTCTGTTTATTCATTGTTACTATTTAAATTTACTCAAATAAAATATATAACTTAAAAAAAGTGTTTGCTGTTATGCTAATTCCACATTTTAAGAATTATTTTCACGTACCTACTTATAAATAAAAGTAAACAATTTTATATATAGGACTAAGCAAGTAAATAAGTTATATATAAAAAAGTTAGTATTTTCGTAGATTTCAGTAGTACCTAAAACCTTGATGGTTTGATCGTTTCTTGTAGGTACCTGTTTATTCTTTTTGCTGATGCGACGTCTTTGAATATACTCAGATGGCATGATATTAATAATGATGAAATAATGAAGATTTAGATTAGTCTGTTATTAAATGTTTGAAATTATTTGTCTTTGTGGAAAACACTATTTAAAGAATACGGCGCCCTTAATACGAATACCTATTGATTTTAAATCTAATGTATGAATTTCATAACCTACTATGGTATTTTTTATAATAACTTGAAATGAAATAATATACAGCAACACTGCATCATTTTAAGTGAAAATAAATACACTTTTTCTTATGAACGTTTTCCCTCTTGCAAATACAGGGTGATAATTTAAAAATGTTAACTATAGGTACTTCAAATTAGTAGTGTTTTAAATTTGAACCATACTTCATCTTAATCATTTAAACTCTCCAACCTGACATCAGCAATACGGTGGTTGTTACCATCCATAGACCATGATACAAAGAAATAAGATCTTATATTAAAAGGTCTATGCTTGGCACATAAGTTCGTTTCATTTTTTGGGTAAGGTTTTGTGAAAATTTTGAACTGCTATTGCAGCGAATTAGATTTTATACATTAATATTTTATTTATTTAAATTGAATAAATTTAGTATGCTTTCTATGATCATAGCATGTGCCATCAACCTACATATTATTTAAAGCGTTGATTGGAACCTCTATTGGAACAAATATAACGGATGAATAAAAAGTTTATATATTTTAGATATGGAGTCATCTGATCCTGGAAAGAAACCTGTCGAGGAGTTTACAGCCGACCACCCCTTCTTGATCTTCTTGCAAATAGAGAGAGACGATGCTGTTTTGATACTTTTCCAGGGCTGTATTTTCAAGCCCAGTTATTAATTGCGACCAGCTTGCGCTATAAACTCTTTCTAATGGGAAATACTTCAGTAAGACCTGTCTCTCGATTGTTAAAGCAATTTAGAAATTTCAAACATCGTTTCTCGACAATAGTAACAATGAAAACTCACATAACGTTCTTGAGTTTTCTTAACATCTATCATTACACTGTGTTGGTATGACATTATATGAGTCAGTTACTGATTTCATATGTAAACCAAAGCCCACCAGGGCAAGTGTTACGGTTTCGTGTTTAATTCTCATTCGAACAGATTATCGACTTGCTGGGGTTGCTGGTCAGCTGATTAGAAAATGGCTTATATTTTGCAGCATTGGAAAGAATTTATCACTTATGTACGGTGTGTTTTGTTGAATAAGTTCCAGACTAATCTGATTTGATAGAATGACATTTATCGATAAAACGATTCGATTGCAAATTGACATTAGTGTCGTCAGTTGACAGCTACATCTGTCAACCGTCAACAAAATAAACAGTAAACAGTCTTTGTTATTGTTTATGTTACCGTACGCAGTAATGGAGTTGTCATTGGTTCATTAATTGTTAAATAGTAGATAGGTTGTTTTATCCTTTACATATATCATTCATAACAACGAATATTTTTTTATTGATTTAGGTACTTTGATACAGAATTATTAAAGCTGCATAAATGTTTGTATATGAACCTTTAGATGGCAATGTAACTCACTGATTGACAAAACAACCTTACATTGCTCCCCTCACTCTTCTCAAATAATTCCAGTCATTCCGTTCCATGTCACACAACCAGAATAACAGGTCATTAAGACGACCATTCTGCAAAATCAGTTCTGGACTCGATCCAATAAAACGCACCTTTAGATGTAAGGAAGATACTTTTTTTACTAGTTAGTTATAAATAAATATATTTTATACAATATTTTATATTTTATTATTTTTTTATGTTGATCTATGTAAAACTTTATATATTTTATTAAACATGCTTTAATAAGTTTATTTTTTCGAACATCAACAATGTTTATTGTTTAATACAGCCTGACCAATTTCAGAGGGAAATCAATGATATTTGAAATTGATTTTCTTTTCTTCATTATCAATTCGATGGATTCTGCACCTCTTGAATCGGGTTTGTACCAAATTTCATGGAAGACTATCGCTAATTGCTTAAAATTAATAATGAATCTTGTCATTTTGTTTGTCCTAAACACAATAGTATATGGAATATGGAATCATAATTAAATTAGATAAGCAAATGAAATATTCTTAACGAAATTTAATTTTAATTGATGATTTTGATTATATCTTCTCAACAAAACTACACATAGTGATATATGCCATGAAAACGTACACAAAAATTTAAATTATAAAATCTAATTTTTTAAATACTTAAACCTCTCCATTTTAGTCTAGCATTCGTTACGTTGGTTTTGAGTATTTTTCGTAACAGTTCTTATAGGTTCGAGGAGTAATTTATCTGCAAACCTCAATTATTCTTCCTCTAGTTCTCTATCGTTACTTTGTTACCTTTTGATTTAAGAATACCTTTCAGAAAAAAGCCCAAGAAAAGGCATTGGAAAAAGCTCAAAGTTTGCTGCTGACTTCAAAGGTGTGAGGTGAATTTGTTCAAGTAAACTTTCAAAATGATGACAGGAACATAGTCAGTAATGCAAGGCTATTCTTCAAAAAATATTTTAATGCCGCTGAAAAAGGCCCTTTATTTTCCTGCACATTGTACGAAAATATTTACTTTAATGAAATGCAGGAAGAAAATATTCAAATTAAAGTCCCGATACTGTTGTGTTCAAACATGGAAGATAAGGAAAAGGCGTTAGTTATTAGCAAAAGAAGCCCAGGTGGTTTAAATCTGTAGATAAATTGCCAGTAGATTGGGTCGCGATAAAAAATAGATGACTGGGTATATTTATGTCAAAAGTTAAAAAACTGACAAGATAGATCCAAATATTTCAGAAAAATACATGAAACTGATTCTATTTCTAAATTTTAATGTCACTAATTTAAAATTTAAGGACGTTCTCAATAATTGATGATTTAAAGGCTGAAAATGCTATTTTAATTTTTTTTTTGGTAATTATGTAATGTGCTTTAGTTTAATGTAAAGTTGTGTCGTTGTGTCTAAATAAAGCAGCGTGGAAACAGAGGTTATGGCAATTGCTTAATGGACCAAGTCTTGAATTCTTTTAGTGTTTCTTAGGAATTCATACTATATAAAATATTAAAAATTTATAAATTGATTAAACATTTTTCTCTGATGCAACAATAATAAGGTATTTGTGAAAAGATTTTATTACACTGAAGTTTCTTTCAATGTAAATTACAAATTGAAAGACAATTGTATTAAATAGAGATAGGAAAAATAATGAAATAGACCATGTTTTAATGCCCAATTTAACGCCTGATCCAGTAAAATATGTTGCATACTTCACCAAGGAGACTATTACAGACTATTATAGAGTAGACTATTATATTATCTATTATATATATTATAGACTACACATTACAGATTACATACAGATTACATATTATAAACTACAGACTATTATATTTCACATAAACGTATTTTTAATAACAAAGAATTCTAGAATTAATTCAGTAGGTACCTACTAAAAAAATCCTGGCAAGTATAAGAATACATCCATCCATTACCCTACTCATTTTTGAAAAAAGTTTATTTAAAAAAGATACCTTTATTATTTTGATTATTCTGTCTGATTTTAGACAATGTTTACTTTCTTGTATAACCCAGTTTCTCGTACTAGTTTTAATTATCTTAAGCCAGCAAAACTGTTGGTAAAGCAGTCCCATACCGATATATGTGCAATAATGCAAAATGAATATTAAAAATACACAAAAAGCAGCAATTCTTGCAGCATCTATGACTTAACGTCACATCTATATCTTATGGTTGTCTCTGATCAGTCTGATCTCTGACTCTGATCCTATATGTCTCTGCCACAGAAGATAAATTGTTTTATCTTCTGTGTATCTGCTCTGCTCTCACCAAAACACCTGACACCTGACTGATTTAGAATAAGTCAGGTGTTCTCCTGACTGATTCTAAATCCTCCTCTTCTTCTTCCATGAACAATGCAAAACAGGTTACTACATATATATAATACTACGGTTACTACAATTTATTTATAGGTTACTACCAGAGATAACCCTTACTACAATATATTAGGGTTACTACAACTTTCAAAGGCTTTTTTTATAGACAAACAAATAGTACAAATTATTTCATTAAAAGGGTGCTGAATGAAAAGATAAACGGGTATGTATGTAGGTTCATTTAAAAATAGTCGTCAAAATTTTAAGCTAAAATTAATACCAAACTTAACCAAAGCAAGTAATTCTAATGTGGAGTAGAGGTGTCTAAATAATTCGACATACTGTGCTTTGTAAGAGCAGAGATCAACGATTATTGAATAAACAAAAAACCATGGCGAATGAGAGATTAAGAACATCTGTAGCAATAGAAAACATGTATTGTTTTTGTCACGGGTAAGTCTATAAGCTATTCAAGGCGCACATATTATACAGGTATTGGTAAAATAACGTCGATAATTTACTTGGACGCCGCTATTTAATAATACAACTAGAGTTGATTTTACCGTTTACCTATCATTTGAAACAAAATTTCACCCTTGTAAAATTTTTATTTGGGGCCTCATTTACTAGATATCATAATTTTTTTGGATACGCGACATCGATTTAGTCGACGTTAGACTTTTTTGGGGTTCTATACTGAATAAAATGAAAACAATATTTTTTTACAGCAAGCATCAAATCAAAATATGTGGTTTCAACCTATAGTGCTCTTTACCTCGTCCAATTCGTTTGTTCAACTGTTGTTTAGTTAGTATTTGGTACCATATAAAAGAAATTTTTCATAAAATCCAAAAATTAAAATCTAACGTCGACTATAAATTGATGTCGCGTATCCAGAAAAGTTACAAATATCTCGTAAACCGAGACCCAAATCAAAATCTTACAAGAGTGAAAAGTATAGAATAAAACGCTTTATCTAAAAAAAAATATTCGGAAAACATGCTCGGCGTATTCAAAAAAAAAAATAGGAAGGTCCATAGTCAAGACACAGAGTAAGTAATAGTCAAGATGTGTCAAGTGTTAAGATCAAAATATGTGCTACATTTCAAATAAATACCTATCTCTACAATTACCGGAGTTTTCAATAAAAATCATGTATTTTTAATTTTAACACCCTGTATTTTGAAAATAGGGCTCCCAATTGAAAAGTGGCATAAGAAACGTCCCATTATTTTAGTCCAAAGAATATTATGTGGTTAACGGGTTGACCTACTAATTTGTAACATCTTGTAGAATAATACATATATTGAGCGAAATTCGGCTTAGTGTGCTTTGCTTATACATTTGTTTACTTTTTGTTTCATGATGTTTCTAGAATATGTTCTGTTTCTTTTTATCATGTTCTTAGAAGCTTAGAGATAGTTCTATATATATTGTTCTTAGAAACCCATGGAAAGTTCGAGAAACAAAGAAAAATGTATTGTAAACGGCCGGGCTGGCGCCTAGGAGGAGTTTATGTTGTTATTGGATATTGTGAATGTCAAGGTCAACTGTGCGTACAAAAATTGTATTAAATAAGGGTACAATGTACATTGTACCTACCAATACTGTTGACAGAAATAATAATTTCTAGCTCAACGCTTGTACATTATACAATCAGGGGAACTGGAGTAAATGTCTTCGAAATTAATACGGTTTTGTATTTTGTCTTTGAAAAATGGTATTTGAATATTTGAAAAAATATTTACATATTTTAACCAATTTAACACGATAAAAATATGACTGAAGTTAGGAGGAATCACCATGTATTATAATATAAGTTTAAGTTTCTTATTCATAATCATAGAAAAAGGATATTATATACTAATATACTAATCCTGTTTCTATGTTCATAATCAAATCGTTGTTTAGTATGTAGGTACGTCTTTTAAACTTAATTTTTGATACAAAACCTCAACGATTACAGTTTCGGAAAAGTCTACGAATTTTATCACAGAACTTTTTATTAGAAAACATTTTTATTTTTAGAACAAAAACAAAAACGTAACCAACAAAATTCTGAGAAGAATGTACCAAATAGTTAAGACAAGTTAGATGCTCTGGATATTGTTTGTCCTTTTCTAATTGCGACGCATGGAAAGACAAAGAGATATATTTTGAAATTTCGATGTTAATAATACCGAAGTTTACGTTTGAATTGCGACTTGTTATTTCCGATTTCTCAATCTTCTATTAAATATTTGTTACTACTTATTGCCATTAAGCAGTTAGTGGTTTGTGCTTTTCACTTACACATACATCTAATTTATGTTGTAATAATTACAACAATTATTGAAATTGTAATTTCAAATATAGATTGTTTAATTTTGTATATTTGTTTTTTTTTTGTTTTAGGTAAAATTGACATCACGGCAAAAAAAAAAGTGATGGCTAATTTTGACTTTCTGGCATTCGAACTAGAAAAATTTTCGAAACGTCTTCACAAAGAACTGAGAGAACAAGATGATAATGATATATTTTCACCTGTCAGCGTACACGCATTTGTGACTCTCCTCTCTCAAGATCCATGGTTTTACAATAAAGAAATTTTCAATAGAGCCTTGGGGTTTGATGTTAATGTTGCAAGTACACTTTACAAATACCTCTTTGATGCTTTTAGTAATATTAATGATCTGATCGCTAATGCCACTTTCTTGAAGCCGAGCCAAATTCCGGAAGCTTTCAGAAGCCGTCTCAGGGAAAATCTTGGTAGTGAAGTAAACTTCTTGGATTTTACTAAACCCGAAGAGGCTACTGCAACCGTAAACGCTTGGGTCTGTGATAAAACCGTTCATAAATTTACACCGGTTAGTGGTTTAAGGGATGATGTGAATTTTACGTTTTTAAATGCCACACACTTTAAAAGCAACTGGTCGGAACCGTTTTCCCCAGAGGAAACTGTGCCCGCAACTTTTTATTTGAACGAGCAAGATACGGTGCCAGTTCAAATGATGAGAAGAAAAGGTGAATTTTATTTCGAGAATCATTTACCTCTCGGAGCCAAAGTTTTGAAATTGCCTTTCGTTGAGAATAACGTAAGCCTCTTGGTTGTTTTGCCAAAGAAGGGGACAAATGTTAATGAATGTATACAACAAGTTTTGACTTATTTTTACGGTAAACTGGATTTCACAAAGAATATTACTAAACAGCAGGTTGATGTGTCCCTTCCAAAGTTTAAACTGGACGATACATTAGAACTGACGCAATACTTAAAAAAGGTAAAAGAAATTCTATTGTCCTACTCGATGGTACTTTGGTTTTTTGAGTTCAAGTATAACTGAAATATCGATTTTTTTTTAAATTTGAAACCCGACATTCAAGATCTACTTATAAAAAGGTGCATGTTCATAAAAAAAAAAACAATTTGAATTAGAAACACTCGTTTGGAAAGTGAAGACCTCTTACAATAGTAAACACGGAGATACAAAAAATGACTCAGAAATCGAATTCGAAAAAATTCGGAGGTTTTCTCTTTTGATATATGAACTTGACACTCCTGTACCCATTTTCCAACTTTTAATAGTGCAGCAATCAGGAAAGCTACAGATGCCCATCGTAGACAAAGTAGAAAGTGTTCACAGGTGAATGGTGTTGTTTTTGAATATTTAACACTAGGATTAGTAGATTTTCTATAAAATAATTTTATTTTAACTGAAAGCCTGTAAATAAACACATACGTGTGTCGACCAATCTAGCCTATTTATTAAAACTATAAGCAATATAAATTATTATTATACGGTTTTATATAATCTCAAAATATTTTAAGATGGGATTGGAAGATATGTTCAATGCCAATTTCTGTGGTGTGATTGATGGCGAGGAACTCAATTGTGATGAAATCCAGCAGAAAGCTTATTTAGAGATAAATGAAGAAGGATCGCAAGCTGCTGCAGGTAAATAAAGTCCCGTAACTTACGGTGAAAATTAAAGTGGTCATATTTTGATAATTAAGGATGGCACCCTCACCACTTTTTTGAAGACGGTTTTTTACGACCAAAAAGATGAGAATGTTTTGAAGCAAATGAATAAAAATATAACTCAAATATGTATTCACAATATATATTTTTCATTATCTACTGACAGTTACAAACAAGTATTTTTTTATTTTTAATGTTACAGCATTATGAAGTTTGAAAAATTGAAAGTAAAAAATAAAAAATTAAGTAGGTAAGTAAGACAAAAATTTACTATTGTGAGAAATAAAAAACGCCCAATTATTTAAAAATTTAATTAAATTTTTTATTCCAAAAATTTTGTTTGAAATTTCTTAAACATTCACCATGTGAAACTAGAAATCATCCCCTAAAGAAAAATAATGTATACAGAATTTTGGAGGGGGGCATTGGATGGTGACCTTCAATTTGACTTTCACCTTAACTTTCAAGGTAATTTGAATGTCGAATCTATTTTTTTAAATAGGAACCTCTATTTTTGACCCCGGATTGGGAACGAGGGCACAATTTTACATTTAGATTGGTACATAAGGCTTTTTGGAATGACCTTCAAATGGTTATTTCAAGGACAAAATATTTTAAATTATGCACTTGAATATCTCATCAAGGAAGCCACCAATCGGACAAGAAATAACCCTTACAAAAGTTGTAGGGTTCGGAGGGGGGGGGGGCATCGGATGGTGACCTTCAATTTGACTTTGACCTTCAACGTCAAATGTAATTTTTTAAATTTAATTTCAGGCTCTCCGAATCCGGAGTCAAAAATAGAGCTTCCTATTTAAAAAATTAGTTTTGACTTTCAAATGACCTAGAAGGGCAAGGTCAAATTGAAAGTCACCATCTAATGTTCTCCGACCCCAACAACTTTCGTAAGGGTTATTTACAGCCTGTATGTGCTTCACGCTTTATTAAGAAAGTATGACCATTTTAATTTTCACCAGTTTTCACTGTTAAAAACTTATCTAAACTTTAAATAATGTTTAAACTCGTAAAATTTATTCTCAGGAATGGTATCAACTTTGATCAAAGCTCGCGAAAAAAAGGTAAAAAGGATTGTATCGACAAATTATACAGTTATTTAATAAATAGATATTAAATTTTAGACACCTCCCAAAGATGGGTTACGAATCTACGAAGCAAATATATCTTCGGAAATTACCAACCGTTTTGCCAAGACCAAGATGGTGTGGAGGGTGGAAAATACCAACAAGAAAGCGGCAGACGCGAATTTTAAAGTCGTTCTCAACGATATGGCTTTCATTACGGAATTTGTAATGGAAATCGAGGGTAAGAGTTACAAATCATACATAAAAGAAAAACAGGAGGCAAAGAATATTTATAACGATGTACGTATCCGCTTGATTTTGTATTTATACTTTGATATGATAAAAAGTTTATTATAGGCAGTATCCCATGGACAAAGTGCGGGGCTCGTCGAAGCGAAAACGAGAGACTCCAAAGAATTTACGGTGTCTGTAAATCTAGAACCGGATTCAGTGGCAGTTTTCTCTCTAACCTACGAAGAAATGCTCCAACGACTTCACGACCAATACGAACTGGTGCTGAACATTTGTCCGGGACAAATTGTTGAAGATTTAAATATTGAGGTAACAGAATAAGATTCAAGTTGTCTTTTAAGTTTGCATAATTATACTTGAACTTCTTAGGTCCGCATTAACGAAAGTCGACCTCTTAAATTTGTAAAAACGCCACCTTTGAGATCAGGGAACGACATTAATACGTCAGAATACGTTCAAAACCTCGAGCCTTTGTCGGACGTTAAAATAATAAATCCAAAAACCGCATCTATCAAGTTCCAGCCTAATGCCGCAAAACAAGCGAAATTTACTCATTATCTGGGCAATAAAATCAGCGACGGTTTGTCGGGTCAGTTCGTCGTGCAGTACGACATAGAAAGAGAACCCGTTAATGGAGAAGTATGATCGAAATTTACATGTTAAAAAAAATTTACTGTTTCCCTTTAGGTACTGCTTCAAGATGGCTATTTCGTTCACTTCTTTGCACCGAATGACCTAGACCCATTACCGAAGCATGTCATTTTCGTGTTGGACACCAGCGGAAGTATGCAGGGAAGGAAAATCGAACAGCTGAAAGATGCTATGATGAATATTTTGAGTGATTTACATAAAGAAGACATGCTGAGTATTATCGAGTTTAACAACGACATTATCGTATGGGATGTTGACTTAAAAAAATCGGCCGTTGTACCTGTGAATAAAATGAAAGACTTCAATGAGCCTTTCGCCTCTTTACAAGTAAGTACCCTCTTAATCTTGGTTTTGATTAATTCACTTCTTCGCTTAGAGTCAAAAAAGCGTTCGGAATTTGTCAATGTACAGCATGAGGCGTGTATAATCTATAAAAATTAAATTACAGCTTCCTAACAATATTTGCAATAGAAAAGTCTTATACGAAAAAGTTGTATTTTTGGGCTTTTTTTTTCATAAATTAATGTTCAATTATGGATCAAAATATTTTCTCTGGAACGGTCCAGTCCGTGTGCTGTACGATGAGTTACGTGCTATAGACTAGGCACGTAAACAAATCGTCATTGAACGATAGAAAGATTGGTACTTCTCAATTTTTGGGGAATTTTTCAATGCAAAAGTACAAACCAAGAAAAATAGATATTTAAAAAAAAACTGATGTTTTCTTATTATTATAATTAATAGTAATTACTGTCTTAATTGCATCGTTGTTACTGAAATAAAACTTACCATTTCGAGAGAAAATGTTGAAATTGATCCCCATTAGCGCGGATACAGGCATGGTACCGACGCACCAAATTTTGGCGAATATTTGCCCAAATTCCAGGTATTCCACAAACATAAGCAGGAAAGTCTACTTGATTGTCACATTGCCGTAAAAACCATCTGCAAAAACGCATTCGTTGAACACAATCCGGGGGTAAAATCTGTTGAACTGGTTGCAGATGATAGAGGTGCAACTGCTGGCACCTTAAGATGCGATATACGGTACGAGATGAGGTTCCTACTTGCTGTGCGAGTAGTCGAGTACTAATTGTGGGGTTTTCGTCAAGATTTTCCAACTGCATCTTCAACATTAAGGTTCTCTTGTTGACCAGGTCCTTCTCCTCGAGGAATAACACTTCCCGTATCTCGCAGCTGCTGAATGTACTGTAGGATTGTATTTGCACATGGGAGGTGACGTTGTGGCCATCATTCCCGGTGTAACCTAGTCGCCGCGAGCCCATTTTCTCCGGTTGCACCATACACTAAACACCATATCGATAGGTTCGGAAATAGTAAATGCATTCTTTTCTCGGTTCATTGTAAAACTAGTTTGTGGAAAAACTAAAAAATTAAGCACAGTAAAGCCTGTATCAGACAATGCAATTTTGTTGCAGGGATTTGGTTGCCTTGATAGAATCCATGAAATATTTCTTATCAAACTATGCAATTCTGTCCCGGCAATTGAATAGCATGAATTAGAACATGCTCTATTCCGTGCAACAAAATTGCAGGGATTCTAGTTAATTTTATGAAGATTTGTTTATTACTAATCTAGGTTGGCTGTTGATCATAGTTGTTGTTAGTAACACCGTTAAAACAACTATTAAAGCTATACAGCAATTTACTTTTAAATTTTCATCCATTACAATGTTTTGCTTGAATAAAAAATAATTGTTTACAAGATACATACAAGAAATTTTACATGTTAAACAATGCACAGTTAGTAACACTAATGCAAACTAAACAATTTGCAGCAATTCTGTCCCATTGTGTGATAATAAGCATGCAATTTGAACCCCGCAACAAAATCCCCGAAATTTTGTCGCTGCAACTAAATCGCATTGTCCGAAACAAGCTTTACCGGATATTGTTCCTCGCATCCTAACAATCATTTCATGCCTTTTAGGTTATTAGTTTTCCTTTATCAAAACCCGTGAAGAGACGCGCGCTCGCTCGAAAGCTCAGAGTGCAAGAGGGTGACGTGTTATAAACTTTTATTATTAAGAAATCACAAAGACTAAATAATAAAAAAGCATTAACAATTGATTTAATTACTTTTATTTATAAAATTTACATAAGTAATAACAACAATTGTTTAAAGCTTTTTTAATAATGGGCTCATTATAGACATTTTTGCAGGTGCTTTGCCTTTGGCAATAGCAAAATGAGCAACGTTTAATTTCTGCAACCACACAAACACATGATCTTCTAGAGCATATTTTGCATGTGCAATTAGTGATGAGTTCATCTGGTGGAGGAAGCAATATTTGTATTTTTTTAGTACAAACATATCCCCATCATCTATCCAGCTGAACATGTGTGCAAATGTGCAGTTGTATTGACGCACTTATAAGTGGCGCTCTTTTAAAGCGGATTTTGAATGGCGATAAGACTGTAAGACTATAAAATGAAACATCACATTTTTAAATATTTAAACTACCGGTTATATGATTAATTTTATTAATGCTTTGACAATGAAATTTACAATGAACTACATTTTACCTTTTCCAAAATTTCCAAAATTGATCAAATAGTTTGTAGGATCTCCTTGCAAAGCCGAATGATATTTGTAATTCTTGTTTAATAAATAGATTAACATCAAAAACATATAAGTATTTAGTGCATTTGAACCCTGCGCTTTTGATCGAGCGCGCGTACACTATGTACGCGTATCTTCTTCATGGGTTTTGATAAAGAAACACATAACTGTAAGGCAAGAAATAATTGTTAGGATGCAAAGAACAGTATCCGGTAACTTTTTTGGCTTTTCATCGAAGTTGAATAATAAAAAACGTTGAAATTTCACAACTTTCTAAGCTGCCATTAATTTTTAAATAAATAAAATAATGAATGGAACTTACCTATCATGTAAAATAAAGTTCAAGCTTTAAAATGAGATGTCGTGCGTCTCAATCCGTTCAATAGAACCAGAGATATGGTACAATTGGTGCGCGCGGAGACGAAAAATTTAAGATATTTGCACTAAATTTGCAATAACTTTGGTTAAAGTTAATCTTTTTTTAATTTTCAAAAAAATATCTGTTTGTTGTGAGAAAACGTAACTATTAACGCATAAAAAATTGTACTAGCTATAAAAATAAACTTTTTACAGCCATTTAAACATTTAATTTGTTAATAACAATTAAACTGACCACTTTCAGGCTTTGCGACCAAGTTTTTTGGATTCAAGAGGTCAAAATAATTCGAAATAAGTTGTTTGCAGCCGTGGCACTCTGATTGTCCACGGAACCCTATCTGGCTCCTAGACTATAATAGATTATCGTCATTTAAATATTCATGAAACCAGTAACAATATTGTACTTGTTGGTTGTGATCAGGAGGACGTTTAGCTGTAGGTTAAAAAATTTGCATAATTCAAACTATATTAAGTTTATCTCAGTACCTGTTTGAGTAGATAACTGCGAAATAGGTTTCTTAGGGCTTTGCACTATTGTCGAATATCTTCAATGTTTTCTGTTAAATAGTAGGTGTGTCTGCCGACTTCCCCTGCAAATGAGATGTTTTTCCTCATATCTTTTAATAAGGATTAATTTATGGCTTTTAAAAAAATCATATGATACCTTACTCTCTCGTTTTAAAATTGATAAGTCGACATCATAACACAAAGAGATTATTCAAAAACATAATTTAATTAATAATATAACGACTTCATGTGAAGGTACTTGTACATTTTTTAAATAAGCGTATGAATGCCTAAAAGACACCAAACATGCACTTAAACGAAACAAGAGCCTTGGTCTAAGATGCAAGCCGCACAAACCACTTCCCTGTGCTGCTGTATTTACCTATTGAAGTGACAAACGCTACTTATGAGGATTTAATTCCAATTCTAGAAATATATATTGGCAGATCCACACGTTGTCAGTGATGACATCATAAAGAAAGCAAAGGAGGTCATTCAAAATATTAGCGCCGACGGAGGCACCTTCATGATAGGTGGCTTAGAAACGGCTTTGTATTTTGTGAAAACTGGACAACAGAAAAATATAGACAGGGATCAGGAACTTCAACCCATCATAGTATTTCTAACCGACGGGGAACCTAACGTCGGTATCCAGTCAACAGACCAAATTGTGGAATTAGTAAGTTACTTTGTCTTATGTCTACTAGTAGCAATCTTAATCCGTTGAAAACGTCGCATGTCACTTGTCAAATCTTTAGGTGACACGCCTGAACACGAAAGACAAGGTGCCTATATTTTCTCTCTCTTTTGGAAATTGCGCAAGTAAAGACTTTCTGAGGAAGCTGTCTTTAAAAAACTTAGGTTTTTCGAGGCACATATACGAAGCCGCCGACGCCTCTTTGCAGCTGCAGGAGTTCTATAAGCAGATATCTTCCCCACTCTTGCACGACATCAAGTTCAAGTATGACGCGGAAGTGGCGGAAGTCACGAGGACTTGGTTCCCCATTTACTTTAGGGGTTCCGAGTTGGTTGTTGCTGGAAGATGGTCAGGTAAGTACAAAACTTGCAAAAAAAAAACAAAAATTGTACTAACTGCGTTTATGCGGAATATTTACGAGGAGTAATCCGGTAGCCCTCAAAATGTACAGGGTGTCTCATACTCAATGGTATGGGGCTACTGTGAGGATACAAAAAAATTAAATAAAATTTGGGACACATGGTGTTAAATGGGATGAGGTAAGCTCCATTTTCATTCGAAAGTATTATCTTTGGAATTTGACAGAAACGACTAATGACATCAATTATATTTTATCAAGAAACACCCAAATTTTTTTTCCTGTTAAAAAACTTTTTTTTACTAAACTTTTATTAGATAAATTTTTCTGTATTACTTTCCGTTTAAAAGTTATAAGGAATATCGTCCTAAAGAGTCAAAAAAAATACCACCTAAAAATCACATTAGCAGTGGAAGGGTCAAGTAGTCTGGAAAATAATTGAATGTTCGTTGTTTATAGTGCATAATTGTTATTAAGAATAAATAAATGGATTAAACTCGATAATTCTTTAATACAGTTAACTATAGATGGACAATGGGAAATTTTCCGTCCCGGAAAGTTTCCAAAACGGAAATTTTCCGGGAAGAAATAATCGAAGCCTGAGAAATTTTCCCTGGAAAGTTTCTAGAAAAATTTCCATTAGAAATTTTCCGGGAATATTTCTAACAATTTGTAAACTTGGAACCAATTTTACTTCTAACTTCTGTGAATACAACCTCAAAAAATCGTTAGTTAATTTCGGATTTTCGGTTAATTCAGAATACCAGAAGACCATATTATCCAAATTAGTCAGAAAATACTTACACTTACTTATTTTAGTCTTTGTTAAGTCTACAATCTACATATAGAGAGCAATACAAGACATAAATTGTTTCTCCCTTTTCAAAGGACCCCGCACGAATCTTATGGAAATTGAATTTCGGTCAAATTATTTGAAATTTTCAGAATAGTTTCTTGAAGTCATGCTGAGAAAAAGTCTTCATGGGCACAAAGTGCCAAGATGCTCCGGAGCCGAGATATAAGCGATGGGAAGTTGAAGTTGGGCTTTAATTTTTTGAGCTGTAGATATAAAAGACAGTAGAGAAGGTTTGGAGTCATAAAATACTTCGGGAGTGACGAACCGTGGGGTCCTTATCTCTACTGTCAAACCTAAAAAAATATCTACTAGTGAGAGGCAAGGGGACTCACGATAAACAAGCACCCCAATGAGATGAGTCTCACATCACGTCCACGTCGTTCATCTTGGGTTCAGCTGAGAATGGGACTTGGTTTTTTACAATATAATAATATTCTATTAGACTGAATATTAAGTATTATAACTCTTATAACTATAATACTGAATATTAATCAGAAAAAAAAAATAACGAAACGTTTTTAAAAGCCTATTTTTGTCAGATTTCAACGTTCTTAGGTATGGAATGACTTCAAAAATAGTTTTTTTTTGTAGAAAATGCGTTAGTATGATTTGAGTTATACGTTTTTTTTTGCAGTGAAAATGTTTAGATGCCGTAAAACCGATTATAAGAGCCTGAGATATGAAAAACGCGTTTTTCAACTTCCCATCGCTCATATCTTGGCACTTTGTGCCCATGAAGACTTTTTCTCAGCATGACTTCAAGAAACTATTCTGAAAATTTCAAATAATTTGACCAAAATTCAATTTCCATAAGATTTGTGCGGGGTCCTTTAAAATAAATTTTGATAGTTGAACCAAAGTATAATTACATTTTAAAACTAGCATAATTATTTAATGTATTTACTATTTATTTGTTAAAAAATAAAGATAAATAGAGTTTTGTCTACTGTATAGTTTTTGCGCACTGCAACCCGCAGCATCTAATTTTTATTAACCGATGATTAATAATTTATATTTTTCAAATATTTATACCAACTTAAACAAAAATGTATAAGTATTTGGTCTTTTTGGAAAGCTGATGGTATGTAGGACGCAATACCAAATCCAAAAAAAAAAATTCGGAAAATTTCTAGAATTTTCAATGGAAACTCCAGGAATTTTCATAGATTGGGAATTTTCCCATCTCTACAGTTAACAATAACAATAACTGAACTTAAAAATTGAGGCAAACGTTTTTATACTACATACATATTACAATCTATTCTCTATATGACCTCCTCTCATTTCAAGACGCATATCCAATCTTCGCCTGACTTCTTTGTGGGCTGCGTTTATTAACATTTCGCCGTTTAACTCATTACCGCTTTGTGATTTTTATCTTTCAAATGATTAATATCTCGCGAAGGTGTTTTGTAGACCTTATTTCTTAAAATCCTCTATAAAAAAATCTAGGGGTGTTAGATCTGGTAACTTTCCGGGCCACTCAATAGTTCCATTAAGCCCAATCCATTTTTCTGGGAAAGTGTTATCTAAATATTGCTGCACAATCCTGGCCTTGTGGGTTGGAGCCCCGTATGCTTAAACCATAGGTTTCTCCTTAGCTGCAAAGACACATTCTTCAGAAGTACAGGAAGTTCTTCTTCTAGGAAATTTAGGTAACTAACGCTGTTCAATGTATGTTCATAAAAATAAGGCCCAATTAAATGTCTACTGATGACGTCGCATCATACATTTACTTCAAACTGGCCTTGATTTTGGACTGAATTTACAATGTGATGATTTTCAATGGACCAGTAGCGTTCGTTGCGCCTGTTTGGCAAACCATTACTGACAAACCGAATTTCATCCGTCCGAAGAACATGCCGAAAAACGTTCTGATTAACAGTTTCTACATTTACTACAATTTTAGCTATAAAATTAAGTCTGTTTTCAACGTTACGCTCAGGCAAATACTCCAAATTGTGAATTTTATAATCATAATACCCAAATTTAATTCCTGGCTAGCCTGCTGTATAGAATTTCATGAATTTTGTTCAAAATACTGTAATAGTCTAGCTGTATTAACATTGTTTCTTACCCTTCGGTCAATTATTTGAATTTTGCCAAACAGAAAATGCATCTTCATTTCGTCGCAAGGTCGCCTCCAATCTTGTAAAGGCTCTATGATCAGGAATGAGGCGCTCTGGATACCTTTCTCGATGTAACTCTACAGCTCTTCTTGAATTTTTTTGTGACTCGCCGTAAATTAGCAACATATCAACTTTTTCTGAATGAGAAAACATTTTCTAAGCACAAAAGTTATACGTTTGACGTTCGTATTGAGTAATGACAAGTATTTTGTGACATTTATGCACTTTAAATAACGAACATTCAATTATTTTCCAACGACTACTCGATCCTTCCACCGTTAATGTGATTTTTAGGTGATATTTCTTTTGAGACTCTTTAGGACGATATTGCTTATAACTTTTAAACGGGAAGTAATACAGAAAAATTTCTCTAATGAAAGTTTATTAGAAAAAAGAGAGCTTTTTAACAGGAAAGAAATTTGGGTATGTTTCTGGAAAAAATATAATTGATGATGTCATTAGTCGTTTCTATCAAATGCCAAAGATAATACTTTGAATTGAAACTGGAGCTTTCCTCGTCCCATTTAACACCACGTGTCCCAAATTATATTTAAATTTTTTGTATCCTCACAGTAGGCCCATATTATCGAGTTTGAGACACCCCCTACTCTGGTTTCGGTTTATTGGAATATTTTCTATTATTTCCCCTCATTCCAAAGTATTCGGATCATATTTCAATTTATTTCAGTTTACTCGTATTCCGACTTATTCCAGTTTATTCCGACTTATCCTGTTTATTCCGGCTTATTCCCATTTATTCTAACTAATTCCAGTATATTCCGTTCAATAGATTCGTCAAATAAACACAAAATCTGAAACTTCATGGTGTTTGAACAGTTTTTATAATTTTTATTCTAAACATAACATACACATAATTCATCGTACATACTGAAATTCACTGCTTTGCTAGCTTTGTTATTTAAGAAAAAGACACTCCTGTTTTTTTAGAACAAATTTTTCCAACTACCATCGACTGCTGGGGTCCTCTTGGTCCCGTAGTGATAAGATCGGCTACGGAAAGACCCGTAACTTCCCTAGAGAGGCTTTGGGCTTATCTCACCGTGAAACAGTTGTTGGACGACAGGGATTCGGCGGCAAATCCTGAAGAGTTGAGCAAAAAGGCCATTGATCTGGCACTAAAATACTCTTTTGTGACCGACGTAACGTCTCTGGTGGTGGTAAAGCCGAACGAAACTGCTCCTGCCCTTGAAGATATCAGTAAGTAAAAACAAATAGATGAACAGTTATTCAAATGATGGTTCATTATTCACAGAAGTCGTACTTATTTTTAGATTCCACAAAAAAGAGGCGTTGTAGTAACCGTTTAGTTCCTACATCTGCTAATTATAGAGGTAAGTTTTAACTGATAAGGAAAATTAGAAATTTATTAAGCAGAGTGCGACTGAAGATAACTTTCATAAACATTTCTTTAAATTTTTCGAAAGGGAAATTATGTAAAAATGTACCTTGGATTTACTGTGGACAAAAAACCGTTACTTATTTTTAGGCTTTTCTGAAATGCGCCCTCCTTATCTTCGTTTATGTTCGGGACAACTTTCCACCGCTTCATTTTCGAAATATAGGGCCTTAAAGATTTTTTTAAAAATTCGAATTTTTTAAATAACTTCTAAATGAAGAAGGCTATTTAAGCCAAATTTGGCATGACACATCTTATAAGATAACATTTTTCCATAGAAGTAGAAGTCCCGCAAGCAACCAGTGGCGGAGTTATGGGGACTCAGACTCATTAAATTATAAAAAAAATTAATACGGCCCTACTGAAAATAAAAAATGATGCTGTTTTTAGATAGAACAGTTTGTTATTGACAAAAAGTGTACATTCACTTTTTTCCTAACTCTTATAGTTTCATGGCAAAATTGATTTTTCGGAAGGGTGCTTCTGGATTCTGTCGATAAACTTTAGGAAGACGTTCCTCATAAAACCTAAAAAAATATAGTACCTATTAAAATTGGTCTTAGTCTCGAGTATGTGTGAGTCAAACAAGCATTTTTGTCTCCCCTTCCCTTGGGTTTAACCAATAGTATTAAAATTACTTAGATGCTGTTTTTTTTTAGAAAAAAAAAATTATGAAAACAATAGAAATATTTAAATACCTAACATTTAATGTGACTATGTCGTAATATGACATCGTAACGACCCTTGCAATACTCCTAAATTTTTTCAGGCGGTTTGTAGTCACTTCATTTTCCTGTGTACTTTTAAATAAAATAAGATGGCAAACAATACATGAAAATTTATTTGTAAATTGAAACCACCAAAAAATTACCAATTAATATTATACCTAGACAAAGCGAAAAGTGAATAAAAAATGAAATGATTTAAAAAATATTTTGTTCAAAATGGGCGCCTCCGAACTGTAGACAAGCACGACATCTTCTAATTATGGAGGTAGTGGACGATCGACACTGAATTGGAGTTAATTCTCGACATGCTTGGACTATTCGCTGTCTTAGATCTTCTAGGGCAAGGGTCGGCAACTGGCGGACCGTGGTCCAGGTCCGGACCGCAGAAGGTAAAATACTGGACCGCCAAAAATTTTTTGAAAGCATAAATTACTCAAATAAATTATTTAAAAAATGTTTTTTACGTTTGAGTGCCAACCATATAATTTTTTCTAGTACTTTACAATTGTGTGAGTGTTTTGAGTTCTTAATGGTTAGTAAGCAGATTAAATTTGAGTCCAAATGAAAATTTGTAAGAAATATGAATTTTTTTTCTGGACCTCGTTAAATATTTTTAAAAGTATCCGGACCCCACCTAAAATTACTTGCCGACCCCTGTTCTAGGGTATCAACTGGCACCTCGTAGACTTTTTGTTGTAACAGCACCCTAAACGAAATAATCCATCGGTGTCAGGTCCGGTGCGGACCACGCTGCAGGTCCTCGACGACCAATCCATCTCCTGGGATAATTAATGTTTAACCACTCCCTAGGACCTCTACCAAAATGAGCATCTAGTAGAAACCAATTGTTAATTCGAGTATTAAGTGGAACATCTTCTAACAGATCTTGAAAACCATTTTCAAGGAACTCGGTAAACATATCAGCATTTAACCGATGCGGAAGGAAGTAGGAACCAACTATAGTGTTGTCCAACACACCCAACCATACATTATATTGGAATTCATGCTGAAAACTATGTTCCCTTACCGCCCGTGGATTCTCTTAGGACCAAATATGGTTGTTCCTTTCGAGTAAATGTTGCCTCATCTGTCCACATTACTTTTTGTGTAAACTGATCATCATTCTCTGCTTGGTTCCAGTCACAAAACACGCACCTATATCGTATGTCCTGAGGCAATAAATGTTGTACTTGCTGGATATGGTACGCATGGCGTCCATCAGCCCGAAGAGTCCTCCAAATGGAATTTGACGAAATACCTAGCTCATAGCTAGATCTTCTGACACTCGTGGATGGATTTTCATCGAAATGGTTTAAAATAGTATTCGATCTTACTTCGTCCTGAAGTGGGGCAAAATGTCCATCAGCATAAGTTGGAATACCGAAAGACCCAGTTTGTCTGAGAGGACTGAATGTTGTTGAAAATATTTCCTTTCCTTCACAAAAACCATATACAAAGACCATATCAGCATATTCATTGTTCGAAAATATGGACGGCATTATTAAACTTATTTTTATTATTAGTTTGAACGCTTTATCTAATGGGTAATTTATGCAACAATTCGCAAAATAACATTTAAAACGTCAAATTTACATTGCTTGACAGCAGCCTACTCGAAAATTTTTGTTGAGGTTCATTTTAAAGTTTATCGACAGAATCCAGAAGCACCCTTACAAAAAATCAATTTTGCCATGAAACTATAAGAGTTAGGAAAAAAAGTGAATATACACTTTTTGTCAATAACAGACTGTTCTATCTAAAAACAGCATCATTTTTTATTTTCAGTAGGACCGTATTAATTTTTTTTATAATTTAATGAGTCTGAGTCTCCATAACTCTGCCACTGGTTGCTTGCGGGACTTCTACTTCTATGGAAAAATGGTATCTTATAAGAAGATGTGTCATGCCAAATTTGGCTTAAATAGCCTTCTTCATTTAGAAGTTATTTAAAAAATTCGAATTTTTAAACCCTATATTTCGAAAATGAAGCATCTCTGGAAAAAAATGTATACTTGATTTTTTTCTTATTTTTTTATGAGGAATACCTCCTTAAAGTTAGTCGACTTAATCCTGAAACACCCTGTATAATAATTATTAAATTTCACTCTTTTTCTAAATTAGCAACTAGATTGAATAGTTTTTACGATTTAGACCATTCTATTAAAAAGTTGCTCTTTGCTAAAATATAAGCTTTTGAATGTAGTATCATAGTGTTAAATTCGAAGAGCTATATAGCTACTTCTGAATTTAGCCTTTCAATATGAAATTAGTGTGGCAGTAAGTATCATACATAATAATTTGACATTTCTTTCACCAATATGTCCCCGAATACAATAACGTTTCATTTGCTTTTGATTTGAGATGTTTCTCTCAAGAATGAGAACAAATTGTAATAGAATACGATGACGCACACTAGAATGTTATACCATTCATTTTGCTACCGCTAAATGTATTTTTTTCTTGTATTCCATCAAGTTTTCCAAGTTATTTTATGTCCACTAAGGCTAAGTAAAATTATTTTGGTTTTCTAGTAATTTCAATGATTTAATATATAGATCTTTTCATATATATTGTAGAAATAAAAAACTCTTTTATATTGCAGTTAACGACAAAAACGGGGTCGTAAATATTTGTCTGCTTAGCAGAACAGGGTCGTTTAGGCCAAGTTTACAGAATATAATATTTAAGTGTCCCTTCAATTCACAACAGACACTACTACACAATGGCTATAAATTGAAAACAATTGCAGTGAATTACAAAAGTTATCCAATAAAAAAACTTGTAATAAAACAAAAATCACACTACTCAAAACTACTCTAAGAAATGAGAATCACAGCATTGCAGCACCGCGCCATTATTCTATGGCTAGAAATTGGCCTCAATGATTTGGGATCGAGGGGGATTATCCCTCTTTATCCTGCCTCATCTCGTGTAGGCCTGGACAGCCTTCGTAGGTGGGCCCCATCCGTCGTCTACCCCGACCGCAAATGCGGCCGGTGTAGGCGCTTTGTGGGACCTCCTTTTGTCCTGGCTGGGCCCCGCCGGCTAGGGCCCTTTCTTCTGGCGCTCTTCTTGCTTCGCCGGCTCGTCTGTGTAAACCCCGGGGGTAGTGTCATGTTTATGTGTGGTATGGTTGGGTAGGGTAGTGCGGCTATGCAGCCTGGGATGCGCTTTGCTAAGGTGGCCCTTAGGCTAGCGCGGGAGGGGAGGGGTAAGGAGGGTATGGGGAGTGTGTATGTGTGTGTGTGTGTGTGTCGTTGTCTTCGTTTCTTGATCCTGGCTGTCTCTGAAACAGAAAAGGTTAGCGGGCAGGGGGGGGGGTCATTGGGGTGGTCACCCAGGGTCAAAAAGTTGGTGTCTAGGTCTTTTGTGTTTGTCGGTCACGTCGGGTACGTAGTCAACGGCTTGCCTGAGGAGGGGATTGTCATGTCTAGTATTGCAGCACCAACTCCTGCCCTGTACCGCGCAAACTGAGCCATCAGAAGTTTAAAGTAATAAGTTCACCGTGTCTAATTGTTGATTGTCTCTGGCTCACATTAGGAATTTGAGAACAACGTACGTCTTAGAGAGATGCTCAGAATCTGTGTTCTTGCCAGCACAGCACTGTTGCCAAATGTTTCGTTCGAGTTAATATTGTACTAAAAATGGACAACATAAGAATGAAGTGAATAATGCAATAATAATTCTTTAAATAAATCTTTGGAAATTCAGCATATTCTTATACAGAGAGATCGAGAATGATTGACCGGATTCTGAACGTACCCTGTCTCAATTGCTATCAAAACTGATTTCCGTTTGCTAAAATTACTTTTTTTCCGTGCAATTTCATGGTGTTCTGTGGCGATTTCACAATTTGACGTTCTGTTCATTGGCGCACGGATTTTTTGGCTTGAATATTATTTTGTAGATTTTGTTGTTACCTGATATATTTTGCGACATTATAAAACAGTATTTTTCAATACTACAGTTAGAGTAGGTGGATATTATACGTGAGTAATTAATTTATTGCGTATGTTGTTCTCTAACCTAATCGGTTTTTTAATTTAGGTTAACATGGCATTTTCATTAGAACATGATAAATTTCTTCTGGAGGCCTATTTTCGTAGTGGACAAAACAATGGTAATGGTTGGAAATATTCGATGAATTCGTGTCATTTACAATTTCAAGAACAATTTCCAAATGATGAAATTGATTATGAAATTTTTT